CTTAACTGACCCCTTCGTGACCCTGAGCAAGTAACAAACTCATCATGTTTCCATTTCTCCATCCTTAAAATGTACATATATATTTTCTCAATCCCCATTACAAGACAGTTATAAGAATCAAGGCTTCCTTCCTGAATTTCTTCAAATTCTCTTGGGTGCCCACCATGTGAAAGATACAGAGAATAAGACAGACTTGTTCACTGTCCCCCTGGAGTAGAATCTAATGGGTGATGCATATCAAAATCTTTTGAGGAATATCATTTGGGAAACCTATGTCAAAGATTACTGTCAAGGAGTGTCTACCAGTCATCATAGTGTTCCTCAGCCCTTCACACCTCTTTGCCAAGGCCAAAGTGGAGGAAGAGGTAGGAGATAAAGCAGTCAGATGGGAGGATGTGGTCTGGCCTGGGCAGGCTGCCATTTTACCAAACCCAGTCAGCCCTAACTCTACTACAATAACTCATTGGCATTTTCTAGTTACAGCTAGTGGTCTCTGTGTTTCACCTTCTGACAGGGAAGTAGGAAAATAGAGATTTGCAGAAGTTGGTAAAAACATGTCAGGAAGCAGAGTTCCATTTCTAGATCCAAGAAAAACTTCCTGTTTTGTTAAGACCCTTAGGAGCGGAAACCAGCTCACTCAGATGAAAACCACAGTGAATAATTTCACTGATTTGTACCGTATGTTAGGCAAGCCCAAGATCCCAGGAGAAGGTTGTGAATAAGAAGAGAAACTATCGGAAGGGAACTGTCCATGTCAACCCCACCAGCTAGGGCTCCTCCTTGCTTCCTCCTTCACCACTCCCTGAAGAACAGTGACCAACAATGGCATGGAATAACTCTGGGGAGAATATGACGCAAAGGCAATCTGGCAAAGCCTCAGGGGGGCTTGTTCCAGAACTGCATAACTCAGATTGCTCATCCTCTCTCCAGATGGAAGAGCTTCCTTTTCTACACAAAGATCCCGAAGAGCCACTTTACTAGCCTCGCCTATACTGAGTCCAGAATCTTGGTTTACCACAGTAACACGTATCGTTGCTTTCATTACGTGACTGATGCAGGTTGGTGGTGGAGTGGGAGGTGGAGACGAGGGAACCCTGCTCCAGAACCCTGGTTGCTAGAGGCTCCGACATTTGGAGTTGTATCACCGGAGTCTTAGGTCTCCACCATCCTGGCCAGAGAAGAAAAGGCATGGAGAACTCATACGTGCTCCTCTTCAGCGTGGAAGGGACATGGGTCACTTCTGTCTCAGTGGTTGGACAGAACCAAGTACAGAGGGGGGCTGGGATGGATGGGGAGATGCATAGATATGGCCGAGCCATAAAGGTCTCTGCCCTGGCCGCCCTTCAAAGCTGAGTGTGTGCTACAACATGTAATAGCAGCTCAGAATCCCAGACCATGAAAGGATCATTTGAATCCAAGTCTGCCGAGATGTCTCCCCTGAAGGTCTTTCTTGATAATTTCCTGGTGTCTAACAGGCAGCTAGCTCTCAGGTCAAAAATAGCCCACCCCATTTAAGGTGGGTTCTTCGTCAGGGTTTTAACTCAACCCCCAGCTCTTCCCATTTTTTATTTATCTGATTAGCTAGCCTCACAGTGTTGTTGGGAGACGGACGTAGCTTGGTGTCCCTGGGAGCATGGGTCAGTCATTGGAACGAAAGCTGCGTTTTTTAAAATCCTGGAATTTTAAGCTGTTCACATTTAATTCCATGAAAATGCCAACATAAAGCTGGAGGATTGTTCTCTAAAAGACTGTTGACCAAGTTGTTCAAAATATATTATGATTCAAGCCTCCTCTTGCCGTTGACTCATGTCTGATTCTTGTCCAGTGTTCCTATGCCAAGGGAGGATGCTCTGTATTCACCATCAATTAAATATACATACAGCTCATGCACACATGGGGTTCTCATGAATGAACTTGTATGCCCTTGCTGGGGGGCAAGAAGTTAAGTAATAGCTTATCCAGGACTTGAGTTCCTTTGCCTTTTCCCCCTTGCTCCTTGCTTTGGGGACATTTGCAATCCACCAGAAAGACAGGAGGGAAGCAAGGGAAATACAGCTCATTTTGGAGGCAGACTGACTTCACAGGGTGGTTCTCTCCCCTTTTGTTTTACTTGGCCGACTGTGGAGCTGTTTTGGGACTTAGGAGGTTCTCCAACCACGAGGCCCTTTCCAGACCTGATTTCCCCTTGGAATGACACATTAGCCTCCCTTCAAATGTAGCAATTGTAAATTCCTGCCTGGGGAGCAGCAATGGCTTTGAATTATACACTATTTGAATAAACCAGTATGGGATTAACAAGGCCTTATTTTTCTGCAATCCTTCACCATAACTCTGCTATAGCAATTCCTAGTGACATTGTATTTCTCTGCCTAGCATTTGACTATGCAAAGCCACACTTTCCACCCTTTAATGGGTCCTTTTAGTTGTGTGTAATAAAAACCTCTGGTTACCATTTTACCAACAACACCAAACAGGAAAAAATATTACCAGGTTTTCTCTGCTCGCTTTTTTCTCTTCCTTTCCCTCTCGTTGGCATCCCTACTAGAATTCCACATTTTAAGTTCCTAAGATTCGTGAAGTTAAACATTGCTTCATGACTGCCATGTGCACACGTAAATACTCTGTACACACACAAAGTAGGATTCTCTCTTTTACATTATGTGTATATGCTATTTTTAAAATAGACCTCAGGAGCACAGAATGAAATCAATCATCATTCCTGGTTTGTGACACAACTCTCATCATTGCCCTGGAAATGCTATTGTCAGTGTATTTTTATGATAACCCAAGGAAACAATTTACATGTGCTCTAGTCCATTGAACACACCCATGCGTGTGCGTGAGCGTGCACACACGCACGCACACACACACACCCAAAACACCACAGTTCTTGCTCATTCACTCTTTACTCAATAACCAAGAATAAATCAACTAATACTTACTTTCTAACCAAAATTATTTCTAACAGAACCAAAAGGGAATCTCTTTGTAATGAAAGGTTTTACTCATAATAGTGTTGAGCCCACAACATGATTTACCTACAAAATAGGCCTTTATAATTCTGATTCAGTGAATATAAAACCAATGAATCAGAGCTATAACAGAGTCTTTTCTAGCTGGTTTTTTAGGCCAGTTAAATCTAATAAAGATCATGAAGATAGAAAGCCAGCTTGAAGTAAGAACATTTTGTATTCTATTAATAGGTAATAAAATTAAATCTATGCAACTGCTGAATGAAAATTTTAGTTACTTGTTTAATACAACTTTAGGCCTACATAACTATCACTCCAAAAACAGCTTAATAGCACAGTATTTTGATTTTATTTTTTTAACACTTTTAGTAATCTCTACATCCAAAATGGGGCTCAAACCTACAATCCTGAGATCAAGAGTCACATGCTCCACCAGCTGAGCCAGCCGGGCGCCCCAATAGCACAGTATTTTTTTTTAATAATTTTTATTTTATTTGGGGGGGCCGGGGGAGAGAGAGAATCTCAAGCGGACTCGGCACTGAGCACGGAGCCAGATGTGGGGCTCTATCCCATCACCCTGAGATCATGAGCTGAGCCAAAACCAAGAGTCTGACACTTAACCGACTGAGCCACCCAGGTGCCCCAGCACAGTATTTTTAAAAATAGGCTTTGATGAAATTTACGAAGTAGTAATCTTTACCCATTTGTCTCCAAACCGTCTTCTCAGCTCTTGTATCTACATTGAAATTTTTTTAAAATTTTATTTATTTGAGAGAGAGAGAGAGAGAGAGCAGGAGCACAAACAGAGGTTGGGGCAGAGGAAGAGGGAGAAGCAGACTCCCCGCTGAGCAAGGAGCCCAAAGCGGGACTTGATCCCACAACCCTGGAATCATGACCTGAACTCAAAGCAGACGCTTAACCGAATGAGCCACCCAGGGGCCCCTACATTGAAATTTTTGTGCCAGAAGGGAGTTGAATGATATTTTAGATATACTATAAGAAGTATAAGTTATTTTTTTTTTAAGATTTATTAGAGAGCGCGTGCATACACACACATGCGGGGGTGGAGGGCGGGAGCAGCAGAGGGAGAGAGAATCCCAAGCAGACTCTGCACTGAGCACGGAGCCCAACTTGGGGCTGGATCCCACGACCTTGAGATCATGACCTGAACCAAAGCCAAGAATCAGACACTTAACCAACTGAGCCACCCAGGCGCCCTGATAAATGATTTTTTTTTAATCATTAGAGGACCAGGAATTCAACTTAAAAAAGCTAGGTCTATAATCTGCACTGAAAGGATTAATCTTCAAATATTTTAATCTTTTGATCTATAAACACATGAGCCAGTTTTTCCCATTTTTCAAAACTCAGACTTCTTTGAAGCATTTCCTCTTAGAAAAAAAAAATAGAAATGGGTTGCTGCGGCTGTTCAGGATTTCATCAGCAAGGAGATAGAGCTGATTCCTTTAGGGACCCTGTTTCAGAGCTGAAGGGTAGATGAAATCCTGGGAATTTAAGAAGCTTTATATGGACACTTGACTCCAAGGTAGCATAAACAGGAATGCTCAATAACACTTAACCAACTGAGCCTCCCAGGTTAAAAGCAGAGGCCAAAATCACACAGTGATTTGTACAGGAGCAATAGACATTGTGAACTGCATCATAAAGAGATGCTAAGCAAAAATCTTATAAGTAAAACAACCCAACAAAACAAAAAAAAACCTCAGAAATTTAGAAAAACTGCCCCCTATCCCAGATATTGATTGAGACTCCTCGTGAGCAGTGCATCTGCATACAAATGAGTAGAGAAAAAACAGCAGGAAATTTGCAGTATAAACTTACAGACTTCTGCTAACACAGTTTATAACAGGGCTCAAGTATTCAGGGTTGCTTCTAAGTTCAGAGTAACAGTCGCGTTCCAATTTGAGACTACAACCTGACCAAGGCATGAGCCTTGGTAAAGGATTTGGGGAAATTCCACGAAACCTGAAGTCCAAGTAATTTCACTTATTCTTACACTCAAATTTTTCCATTTCATTTTGTTTTGGCAGTTGTGAAAAAACAGTAGACCGCTGGGATAGAGCCAGGAGTGCTCCTTTCCAAGAACGAACCAGGTTTGATAAGAAAGACCACATGTTTTTCTGAAGATAGTTAGGAAAAGCCTTTTTAGGCCAAGCTCCAGCACTTGTCACTGTTGAGGAATGTTCTTGCTCCTCTCTCCCTCAGACGGCCGTGCCCTGACCGCTCGCCCCCCCGGACATCCGATGAACGCACTCCTCGAAGCCGTGCTCCTAGTGCTGGGGTTCTGGGGGCCCCGGATTCACTGAGCTGGGAACCACTTCTGGAGCTACAGCAGGGCTCTGAGAGCTCACAAGGTCTCCTGCATCCCTTTTTCTTTTTCTTTTTTTTTTTTAAAGATTTTATTTATTTATTCATGAGAGACAGAGGGAGAGAGAGAGAGAAACAGAGGGAGAAGCAGGACCCTGGGATCATGACCTGAGCCGAAGGCAGACGCTTAACCATCTGAGCCACCCAGGCGCCCCTGCATCCCTTTTTCTCCACTTGCTTCCTTTATTCAACATCTGCCTTGTGCCTCAGTTTCCCTCATTAGGACTGAAGACCTGCCCCCGCTACCTTTATTTATTCGACAGCTGCCTCGTGCCTCAGTTTCCCTCATTGGGCCTAAAGACCTGCCCCCGCTACCTTTATTTATTCGACAGCTGCCTCGTGCCTCAGTTTCCCTCATTGGGCCTAAAGACCTGCCCCCGAGTGGAGGTTTAATTACCCGGTCTTGCTGTTTGCCCGCTCCATGGCTTTCTTCCCACCCTCCCACTGGCTGGGTCTCTGCGGGGGTGAGTCATCTGCTCAAGAGCCAGGATTCCTCCATGACTTCGGTCCACCATCTAGACAGTTATTCCCTGTTTACTCTGCCCCCTGAAGATACTGATAATTGCCTGAACCTGATCCCAGATTGCCTTCTCCACTGAACCCACCTGATGAGCTTTTCTAGAACCAGCCTCACCAAGTCAGTCCCACTGCCTCCTTCTCCCTACCAGCTGACCCTGCTGAAATGTCGATGATCGCAGGAATGAATGAGAGTTAAGAGCTTAGCCTATCTTAAACTGTCCCAGGTGCCTCGCGTACTTACCTTTATTTACCCAGGCGCTGGGAGAGGTTAAGTGATTCATGCAAGGTCACCCATACAGTAAATAGCACAGCTAGAATTGCAACCTCGAACCTTCCTGATGCCACGTGTATTTCTGTTCCCCATCCTAACGTGTAGGTTTTTTCTACACACCAAGCAATTGTCAGCCACCAACTGGATGTCCCACAATCCAACTCAATTCTGACACAATCTACCTGGAAATAGCATCCTATCCCACAGGTTAAGGGCTCAGTCGTACGGCAATGCTCTCCCTGCCCCTCCTCCTGCCACCTTCCGGTGACGACTGCAAGCAAGTACAGGTCGTCCCTTGTGCTTCTGACCAACTAATCATCTGTAGATTGGAGGTTCCAACTACCCCTCCTTGAGTTCCATTAATTTGCTAGAGCGGCTCACACAACTCAAACAAATATTTTACTTACCAGATCGTTGGCTTATTACGTAACTCAGGAACAGTGGGATTGAAGAGATGCATAGGGCAAGGTAGAGAGAAAGGATGCAGAGCTCCCATGTCCTCTCTGAGCGCATCACTCCTCTCACAACCCCACCTGCTTAGCCGGAAGCTCTCTGAACCCCGTCCCTTGGGGTTTTTACGGAGGCTTCATTACTTAAGCCTGATTGATTACATCATTGGCCACTGGTGACTGACCTCAACCTCCAGCCCCTCTCCCCACCCCTTAGGTCAAGGGGGTGGGACTGAAAGTTCCAACCCTCTAATCTCTTGGTTGGTTTTGGCAACCAAACCCCATCCTTAGGTAGGGATCCAAAAGTTACCCAGTTAGCATAACAACAAGACACCTTTATGGATCTTACTGATTAGAAAATTCCAAGGGGTTGTGGAGCACTGTACTAGGATTGGGGTCAAAGACCAAATACGTATTTCTTATTGTGAATCACAGTATCACACCAGGTAAATACTCCTAAACATGGGCCAAGAGTTCCCAATATTCACTTTGCCTCCACATGGTTCCAGACACTCTACGTTTGTGGGGGGCCTCTCTCGGGGGCTGTGCAGAATCTCAGCTTCACTGCCTCCCAGCACTGAATAGTAAGAACCGAAGGGTGCTCTGCCTCTCCCATTTATGCTTCCCCTACCCCAGCGGGCTTCATTGCCAGTAGACAGGGCTTATTGGCGATGATCAAACTTCACACCTGAGCGTGTCATCCATCAGCTCTGAGGCCTGGGCAGGTTCCCTGGGATCTAGGAAAGCCCCCCTATCTTAGGGTTCTGCACACAGCTAGTCAATGGTAGCGCCAGGACTGACGTTTCATGGCTCTCAGGCCACCCCACCGAGGCTGGAAACAAGGAAAGTCACATTTCACCCAGGGCTTCTGATGGGAGACTGCTTGGACCTGTGACTTTCGCCTCTGTGTCTTCACCTCTGACAGGGAGCAGCAAATGAGGCCTGACTAAAAGGATGACAAATGTTGCTGAGAAGGAGCAAATTGTTCTGGAGGAATTGCTGCTACCACACATCTTTGGCGAGGACCAGGACTTTGTGAGTCTGTTAACCACTCTGGAAGCCAGAAAGGTATTTGTAGACGGATTCACACAGTGTGATCTAATTTATACCACAAGACCAAAGCCATCTTATAATAACACTTTAGCTGAGCATTTACTACACACCAGAGACGGCTCTAGGTAAGCATTTTTTTTTAAGATTTTATTTGTTTATTTGACAGAGAGAGACACAGCGAGAGAGGGAACACAAGCAGGGGGAGCGGGAGAGGGAGAAGCAGACTCCCCGCTGAGCAGGGAGCCCAAAGCGGGGCTGGATCCCAGGACCCTGGGATCATGACCTGAGACAAAGGCAGATGCTTAACTGATTTAGCCGCCCGGGTGCCCTGGAGTGGAAGTTTTTGAAGACACCCAGAAAGACATAGGGATTTGAATTTTTTGTTCAGGGAGAAGAGCAAGAACCAGTTATCACAGACATCCATATTCCTAGGTTCAGTCAAGGCTTGCCTATCCACTGACAGGAGATCATGTGTGACCTTGATAACCTATGGTTAGCTTTTCAGAGCTTTTCACTTTGCTTTTCATTTTTCACAGTTAGGAAACTGTTATCTAGCCCCATGTGGTTTCTGGGTCACTCTCAGAGTGCTATAAAGTCAGTTCAGTTCCTAGGTTCAAGTTCAGAGCAGATAAGGTGCACAGAAGCACAGAGAAGGAACCAAATAAAACTATCAACAAAATAGAAGTTTGGCAATTTTCAAATCTTGTTGCGTAACTCCTTGCTTGGGAAGAAATGCTCAAAAATCAACAAAAGGAGGAAAAACAGGATGTTAAAAGGCACTTTTATTATGTTTTTATAAGTATACTGCCAGACTATTTCTGCCAAGAAATAACATGCCTCCTCCCTACAATCTACACAATTTGGGGTTTGCTGGGAATTTTGTGGGATTTTTTTGGAATAAAACCTAAGTTCCCACCGACTTCATTGTCAAAAAGAATGTCCCAGAAATGAACACGCATATGGGGAATGAGCCTCCTGGATGGAAACAGCGGCCCTAAAGCCCCCACTATGAGTGGCACATCCCATGAAGCTTTGGTCCAGAGACTAACACCTACAATGGAGCCTCTTCGTCGCACACACAGTGATGGCAGGTCTCCTGCTGAAGGTCTCTGTCCCATGGGCTGGGGATGCAGAATGACACCAAATCATGAAGATGGGGGAAAGGCCCGGACCTGGGAGCCAAGCAAAGCTGGACTCCAATCCCAGACTCCCCAGCTCCTAGTGGCGTGACTTCTCTGAGCCTCCATTTCCTCATCTGTGAAATGAGCCCTAAAATACCAACAGCAGGATTGTCGTGAGGCTTCAGTGAGGTGTCGTCTGCACATTGCTCAGCACGGTGTCTGGAAGTATCAGCGTAAGCCCTGTCCCCTGGGAGAAGACCAGGTGGAGCCAGTGGCTGTCAGGAGCAGAGAGGAAAGAAGCAAGACAGGGCCGAGCAGAGAGGTTGGGAGAGCCTGGAGGGTCCGGCAGAGAGAAAAAGGCAGAGTCCTGGGCCCCACCCAGACCTACCAACTTGCCCATTCTGAGGATGAGGCCCCCAGGCTGTGTCCTAACAAGTCTTCCAGGTGATTCTGGTGCTTACCGGCAGCATTTGAAAACCGTTGGTCTTGGCCTGTAGTGGAGTGAAGTGGACTGAGAAAACCTCAGGAGAAAAGCTAAACTCCTCACCCAGATTAGCAAAGTGTTCCCCAGGCTGAGGGATGAAGGGAAACAGCAGGGAGGTAGGTGATGAGAGAGAGAGAGAGGTGGGGTGGGCCACCAGGAGAAAACTGAATCTGAGTAAGCCCTATACTTTGCCTGGGCCAAGGGGCTATGCTACTTGCCTTCCGGCAGGTGTCTGGTGACAAGTTATACTTGACAGCAACCAGGCTTTCTCCATTGCCTGCCTGACGGGCAGGAGAAATTGTTGGGTTTCTGTCCTCCCTGTACCATATGCATAATCCCTCCTCGCAATATTCTTGAATGTCCATCAGCCTTTGAGGAGGGCGTGGGGCCCTGGACGGCTAGCGGCAGGAGAGGGAGTGGAGGGAGAGTAAGCCCCACACTTGATCTCGAATGCCGCTGAGCAGAACCAGCACAAGATTTCTCCTGAGCAAGAGCAAGGATAAACCCCAGTTACAATCACGACTTGGGTTGGACACCCATTGGCATTGAGTATCCATTTCCACCTCTTCCTGGGGTGCCTTTCTGTGTTTCAGAGGCTGGAAAGCCTAAAACTACATGTCCCAGACTCCTTTGTAGTTGTGGATGTGCAACTTACTGACTGGGCAAGTTTCAGAAGAGAGAAGTAGGCGGAGGCCCTCAGCCATCTTTGCTTGGCTTGTTGGCCAAGTTTCTTGCCCCTGGGTACGACTTAGAGGCATGGGTCTCCTAATCCCCTTTTCTAGTTGGAGGCTCACCTGTTTCTCACATGGCTCTCTCACCAGCTATGCTCTCCCTAAGCTGCCGCACTGAGGCCTCGACTCCTGCTCCTGTCCTTGGTTGGCTGTCTCTTAGCCTCCTTTTGGTGAGGTCAGAGCAACATCTCCCTTCTGCTCCAAGTGTCCCTCCCGAAGACAGAGAAATACAGGCCTGTATTAGTCAGGTTCTCCAGGAAAACAGAACTAATAGGAGGCATATATACAAAGAGATTTCTTTTCAGGAATGCGCTCATGCCATTGTGGAGGCTTGTGGCAAGTCCAAAATCTGAAGGGGGCGGCCAGCAGGCTGGAGACTCAGGAAACAGTTGCAGTTCGAAGGTAGAGGCTCTGCCAGCAAGCCAGGAAGAGCCAGTGTTGCAGATGAAGTCTGAAGGCAGTCTGCTGGCAGAATTCCCTCTTGCTCAGAGGAGGGTCAGCCTTTTGTTCTATTCAGGCCTTCGACTGCTTAGATGAGGCCCACCCACATTATGGAAGGCAATTGGCTTTCTTTTTTTTTTTTTTTGACATGGAATGTTAGAAATTTCTTTATTCTTACTTATTTTTATTAAGCACCAGCTTAATACTGCAGAAAATTTCAAATCACCCATTCTTCCCTCCCCGCCCCAAATTCTTGATAAAAGAGCTCTTCAAGTGAATACATGCTCTCTTCTCTCTTCTGTATAAAACTTTATCAAATAAAGGCAAATAACTGTGTACACCTTGCTGTAAAATGCTGCCCACGGCTGTGGAAAGTGTCTGCTCAGGCTCCTTTCACTGTCCAGGTCCTGAAAGACTCTTGTTCATGAACTGTCTCTTCACAAAGCAAGTCCACCACTTGCTAGGTTTATCATTCTGAGGGTCAAAAACTTTCTCACAAAGTCTCAGTCCAGTCTCTTGTCTCAGCTGCTGTAAGTAGGCCCTCATCACCTCATCTTCCTGTTTGTTTGCAGGTTTGGCATAAATTGCATTAAGTGGAAAACCAGGCTCTCCAGGAATGGGAAAATTAGTGATTCCCAGTGTATACATTTCTTTTTCACCTTGGCTTTTGGAATTGCACTTTTGGAGTTTCTTTCGACACTCAGAAATGTACAGAGTTATATATATCAAGGTTCTATCAGCTTCATTCTTAATCTCATAGTTTTTGAAGAAGACATTGGCCTTAAAGTAATAGATGGCTTCATCCACAATATCTGTATCTTTTGTCTCTCTAGGGGCAGGTCCTTTGAACTGACTTCTGATAGGCAACAGTGCCATGTTTCCAATGAGTTTGGTGTCCGGGTCCATGAGAGAAGAGTGGTAAGCCGGCATCTTGGCGGCGCCAGTGTTTCAAGCCAGACGAGGAGGTTGGGGTTCGAGCGCGGCGCTTCCGGTCCGGGGGCCCGGGCCTGGCTTTCTTTTTAAATTTTATTATGTTATGTTAGTCACCATACAATACATCATAATCGGCTTTCTTCAAAGACCACTGATTTAATGGAAATCTCATCCAAAAACACGCTCACAGAAACAACCAGAAAAAATTTAATCAACTCTCTAGGCACGGTGGCCAGCCAGTCTGACACATAAAAGTTAACCACCACAGAGCCTTGTTACTAAGTGATGGGAGGATTGTCTTATGTTCCTGTGCTCTAACTTCATCCTGCCTCCAGGGCAGTCAGCTCACTACAGGTGCTCCCTAGCCGCCATGTCCTCCCGACCTTGTATGGTTTCCCCTGGGGGTCAGGGATGTGGGAGTCAAGTGGAAGAGGGGTGCTGGGCTGGAAGTTAGAGAAATGTTGGGCTCAAAATGGGCACTTCTCATGAATTCCCAGTCTGTATGTCTAAGCCAAGCCAGAGAACTCTCTTTCCCCTTGGGACTCCTTCCATAGCCACATTCCACCTCCAGGTCAGGGGAAGACATTTTTCCATCCTTCACCGACATCTTGCCCTGGAGCCAAGGTCTAGCCAACCACTGTCTCTTTGAAGCACTGAATCTCCAGCTGGTCAGCCCCACTGGCTTCCAGCATGCATCCAGAACTTCCTGAATCCATCTGTGTGGTTGAGTTGAGCCATGGTGACATCAGTCATGTTATTGTTGATCAAAACAAGGGTAAACTGTAACCAAGGCCTTTGTGGTTTTTGACTTAACTGTTGCTCACCAGCTGTGACACACAACTATGAAAAGGCCCCAAATAGAAACTGTGTATACCATAAGGATAGATAGGGTAAGAGACGAGACTTCTCCTCTAGTGACTGAAGGTAGTTTGTCTCCTTCACTGGAACAAGTTCAAGTACACTCCCAACTCAGTGTTGCCTGTGCATTTTCTGTTTTCTTTTAAAAATAGCAGCTTTTGGGCACCCGGGTGGCTCAGTCGGTTAAGCATCTGCCTTCGGCTCAGGTCACTGGGATCGAGTCCCGCATTGGGCTCCTTGCTCAGCAGGGAGCCTGCTTCTTCCTCTACGTGCCACTCCCCCTGCTTGTGCTTGCTCGCTCTCTCTCCTACAAATAAATAAAAATCTTTTTAAAAAAAATTAGCAGCTTTACTGGGACGCCTGGGTGGCTCAGTCAGTTAAGTGTCTGACTCTTGATTTCGGCTCAGGTCGTGCTCTCAGGGTCATAAGATCAACACCCGCATTGGGCTCCACACTCAGCACAGAGTCTGCTTCTCCCTCTCCCTCTGGTCCTCAACCCGCTCTTTCTCTCTCTCTCAAATAAGTAAGTAAATAAATAAAATCCTTTAAAAAATTAGCAGCTTTACTGAGATACAATCCACGTTCTATACAATTCAGCCATTTAAAATGTATG